GTTCCTCAGGGCCTGCAAAACAGAGCTGTTCCACCAGGCCCATGGTCGAGGCTTAGGACTAAGAAGAGCAATTCCATCTTAAAGAAGCCAGTTTGGTGTAGTGGTTAAGTGTGCAGACTCTAATCTGGGAGAACCGGGTTTGATTCCCCACTCCTCCACTTGCAGTTGCTGGATGATCTTGGGCAAACCATAGTTCTGTCAGAGCTGTTCTCTCAAGGGCCGTTCTCGAGAGAGCTCTCTCAGCCCCACCTACATCACAGGGTGTCTGTTGTGGGGAGGGGAAGGGAAAGGAGATTGTAAACTCCTTCTGAGACTCTGAGTGAAGGGGGATAAATCCAATCTCTCCTCCTCTTCTTCATAGGCCCCCTCCTGCTTCTCTTTGTGGACCTTCCCCTAGTTTTTATATGGTTAAATGTCCCTAATGAGGCTATATTATCATGCCATCTAACTGTTGCTGACTGATGCTTAAACAGTTTTAATTTATTTATTATTTTTATTAATATGTTGTTACTCGCCCTGAGGCCTACAGTAGCACGGGAGGGAAAAATCTACTAAAATAATAATAATTTAATTAATTAATTAATTAAAACCTTTATTAGCCACCTTTCTACCTGATACAAGATCAAGGTGGCTTACAACATAAACACACACAAAAATAAAATATGTAAAAACACTAATATAAAACTCAGTTTTTTAAAACAGCCAGTAGGCAAGGGAACTGAAATTAATCAAACGCCATCCCGAATGACACAGTCTTCAGCTGTCTCCTAAAGGTCGAGGGGGGGGGCAATGACACCTCCCTGGAAAGGCTGTTTCACAAGGGGGGGGGCTGCCACTGAGAAGTATTTATCTTCTGCGGTCAGCATTGCAACTGCACAGCACACTGCTCGCAACGCCAGGTGAGATTTGCTTTCAAATTCTCCTCATGCTGGATTTTAAAAACCCTCTGTGACAGCATGAAACACAGAGTCGAATGGAGGAAACTGTTCAACCTCCGGTGGCTGAGTTTGTATAAAACATCCACATTGTGCCCATCACCTGTGAGGGAACCCTGCTTGACTGGCACTGGCTGGCTCGATGCAGTCTCCTGCAGAATAGTCTATCCCAGGTTTAGCTCAGGGCAGTTCTGTTGGGGCAGGGGCAATTTACAGTCAACAGGGCAAGCTCCGGAGCACAGCGCACACTGTGAGTTGTAAGTTTCCACTGCAACCGGAGGCTCCTTCTGCTTTGGTTCAAACAATACTTTCTCAGAAGAGCTATTTTACAGAGATTATTTTAAAAATATAAACGTGTTTATTCCTTTTCTTCAGGAGCCTCAAAAACTGTACAGGATTATTAGGCAAGCCATGCTAGGAGACAACATTATGGCTGCCATCTTATACACACTTACTTAAGAACAAGTCCCACTGAACAGTGGGGCTTACTTCTGAGTAAACATGCAGAGGATTACATCACGAGGGCTTAACTTTCAGGTCTGTTTATAAAGAGAGGGGACAAAACCCATTCCAGGTGACGGGTGGGATTTATTCTTTGTGCTTTTCTTCCTCGTATAATATGTATACTTTGATACTTGGTCCAAATGGCAACACAAGGATGTGGTCTCTTGGATAAATGTAAGACCCCTCCCGTTGTCACTTCTCAATGTAAAATGCATTAGCAGAGAAAAGATTAATGTCTTCAGAAGGAGCTTCCAAGATGAGTCCTAGTGAAACAGAGAGCCAGGACACTCAGCGTTTCATTAAAAAGTTTCCCACAAGTGTCCCTCCCCCAAATATCCAGCTTCCAGAGTCAGAATTTCCCATTTTCATCAGCAAGCATGAGCATTAATCATCGACTTTTTCATTTCTTCCTTTCCATCCATGAGCACCCTTACTGCCTTCCTAAACCTATTCAGCATCAGTCTTCCAGGTGTTTTAAACACACAGCTGGTTTAAGTCTCCTTCTCGCTTCACACACTGAAGATCAAACATGACTGCCCACCTGTATCTCCCCGAGCTCTTTGCTTACAGTCAACATCATGTTATGTTGAGATGAAACATCGCTTCCTGAAAGGCACCAAACCTGCAGCAGAACTCTACAAGTGGCAAAGAGTCTGTAGAGGCTCTCTCAGTGGCTTGACCAGCCCTGACTGTCCAAAAAGCACACAGTGTCCTTTAACTTCCATTTGTCCAGTTTCCTACTTTAGTCTACCATTACAGTCTCACTGTCTATGGTGCGACTGGACAATTGTACCCAAAAGAGGAAAAAAGCAGAGAAAAAGAGACAGGACTCTGAAGTGACCAAGAAATATTCTGAACAAACAAGTAAATATCTTCATGGTTTGCTCAGACTGGAAAAAACCAAGTGCTAAAATCCATCTTAAGCCAATAAGATGATTTAACGACAACCCAATTAAAAAATTAATTTTAAAAAGAAGGGATGCAGGAATACGGAAAATATTGTCTCTAATCTCACAGAACTTTTTTCAGCCTCTAATTTATATTCTACCCAAGAAGCATACAAAAATCTAGCAATCATCTCTTCTGCCATTTCTATACAACAAATTATTGCGTAACCCCAAACATCTCTGCTTCAGTTAGCTCACCTTGCCCGCCACCCTCCTTCCCATGAATGGCTCCTTAACAACGTATTTTAAGTACTGTGTATATATTAATGGTTGTGGATATAAAAATAGAGGGTGGCAATTATTCCAAGGCTGAAATCAATTCAAAGCTCTGATCTTACATACCTATTCTACCTTAGGATATTTTCTTTATCCTTTTCATGGCTAAGAAATCCTTCACCCCAAGGGCCCATGCTCAAGGTCACATCAATTGGGACAGTTAGTCTTTTAAAAAACACCCACTTATACCCAAAACTCTGGTGTTCTTTTCTCATTCTTTTAGTGCATTTTGGGACATCTCGAGTAAATTAGTCGTTGTGTGCAGAGAACTGAAGAGGGGGTGGCCTTCCACATTAATTCAACATAAATTCAAAGAGATCTACAATTCAAAGATTTCTAGAATCTGTCATATAGTGACTCTCACCAATATTTTTATTTTTTTTCTTTCCACCTGCTCTCCTGTAGGCCTTTAACAAAGACCAAGGAGATAACAACTCTAGGTTAAAGGTGCACAGAAATGTCAAGAATGCTTATTTAGAAAACCAAGTACCACTGCATTTCTCGGGGCTTCCTTCCCATCCAGCCCATGCTTCCTTGAAGTAAGAGAAATTCACTCCCAAGGAAACATCCATCAAAATGGACTGCAGGGCTTGTACAGTTACAAAACCTCTCTCTCATTTGAACAAGTCTTCTGTTTTTACACATAACACAGGGGCACTGACTTCCCAACAAATGTAGATTCAGGGAGGTAGCTGTGTAGGTCCGAAGCAACAGAACAAAGTTTGGGTCCAGTGGCACGTTTAAGACTAATAAAGTTTAATTCTGGGTATAAGATTTCGTGTACACGCACACTTCTACAGACACCAACAAAGGGTTATGCCTGCTACACTCTGATCCTGGGCATACCTGCCCAGAAGGAAACCCCACTGGACCAAGTCCAATTCCCTGGACAGCACAACTGCAACTACAAGAATCCTCAGATTTGAGTCCATCAGTGCCTTAGAGTCCAACAAGATTTTTTGGGTATAAGCTTTCGAGAGTCGAAGCTCCCTTCATCAGAGGAAGCTCTGATCTAGCTGCTCTACTGCAGATGAACATGGCTCCCCTCTGAAATGACAAGAATCCTTGTTTCCAAGGTTAACAATGCATAGAATTGAGCTGCATCCATCAAAGCCATCTTCTTCCCTTATTTATATCTGCCTCCATCTTCCTTCCCCTTCCTAGTCATCTTGCTCATGTCAAACTTAAAACTGCAATCTCTTTGGGGGCAGGGACTGACCTTCCTATATCCTAAAAAAGTGACACGCCCATGGCTAGCCCCATAGAAACACCATCATGCTTCATTACTCTTTTTTTAAAATAACTTTTTATTTATAACATTTCAACAATAACTATACATCATAAATTCTTTACATACACGCTGTAAACAATTATAACGATAACGGCTTGTCAAGAAGGCTATATATTAATTAACTACTAATAAAACGAGAAATGAGTATATTTCTTAGGCAGAACACTTCCTTGTGCTTCGTGATTCTTCGCCCCTCAACCGGCTTCCATCCCGACCTCTTCCCCACCCGCCCCTTTAATCTTGAGCGCTCCTTCCCCTCCTCCCTTGACACGGATCCTGTCAAAACGGCCGTCTGAACTCCCTCCCACCGCTCAGCAAGGGCAGCGCCGGCTACAATCTCACGGGACGCAGGAGGGCTCCGCTCCCGTGTAAAGAGGCGCAGGACCGCGCTGCCAGTCACGGGGGGTGGCGGCGAGCCAGGCGCCTGGAGGGGACGGACTGTGGCCAAGGGGAAACCTCCCGTACCTGCTTCTGGACGTCGGCATCGCTGAGCGCCATGGCGGTGGAGGACTGGAGGACGAGGGCGGCGGCGGCGGCGGCCCAGGAGACAGAAGGCGAAGCGAAGAGGAAGCGACGCGTCCGCTCAGGCCGGCCTCGAAAGGGACACGAGCGAATCCGGTCCGAGTCACTGCCGGCTACGGCCCCTGCGCTGACTTGACCGTCGCTAGCTCATCCAGAGGCCACCCCGGGTCCCTCACGCTGAGCCAATAGGAGGCCACACTCGCGATGGCGTCACCGAAGGACTGCCGCGCCTGCGCTGAGGCCCCTTTGCAGGGTGAAGGAAGGTTAAACTGAGGAGGGCGGGGCTATCGAGGCCCTAGGTTAACCCTTTCCTACTAGAACGACGTTTGAGTCCAGCGACATCAGTACAGTTTTGTTCGAGGTGTAAGCTTTCTTCGTGTTCACGCACACTTCTTCAGTGAAATGGAAATGACTGGTCCATACCTATAGGTAGAGGACGAGCAGTAAATTAGCATACAGCATAATGAATGTGTTTAACAGATTCAAGGACCAAACAGGAATGTAACAAGCTTTGTTTATATGGTTAACATTTGTTTGGGTTTAATACTGGGCTTTTTACTATTTTGCAGCAACAGACTAACACAGCTAACTCCTCTGAATGTATTCCATTTCATTGTATCTGAAGATGTGTGCATGCACACAAAAGCTTATACCCTGAATAAAACTTTGTTGGTTTTAAAGGTGCCACTGGACTCGAATTTTCTTCTGTTGATTTAGACCAGCATGGCTACCCATCCGAACCTTTCCC